TGGTGTCCCGAGCACGGCTCACGGGGCTCCTTGGCCGCCCTTTGCCAGCTGTACACGGGGTTCTTTGGCAGCCCTTTGCCGGGGGGGCACGGGGCTCTTTGGCGGCCCATTGCCGGGGGACATGGGGCTCCTTGGCAGACCTTTGCCAGGGGACATGGGGCTCGGCCACTGCAGCTCTGCTGGGGCTGTGGGCACCCGGGTTCTGGTGAGCCTCAGGCGTCTGGAGGCATTTGGAGCTCCTGGGCTGTGCAGAACAGAAGCAGCTCCCAGCTGTGAACCTGTGCAATGATCAATACCCCACTAGAGAGGTTTCCCTTCTCTCTTGGGAGGTGCACCACATGGTGAGAGGTTGAAGCCTGCCCTGATGGTCACTCTGGTTTTTATTTTTCCTGCTAGTGGAATAGAGAACATGTCTGGGATCAAGAGAGTGATCGCAGAGAAGGACCCTGATTATGAGGACATCACCATCACACATCCCAACAAGCGGCACAAAGCAGCCGAACAGTCAGGTAGGAGCTGTGGAATTGGAAACTCTGGATGTGCATGCTGTCTGTAAACTGGTCAGGAAAAGGCTGGGGTAGGAGTTAGGGGCATGGACGGATGTTGAGCAAGGCAGGTAGTGATACCTCTGTGCAGCCAAATAAAGATGTATCTTATGTGGAGTCGTCTCTTCCTGCTATCTGGACCAGAAGTAAGGTGTAGGGATGCAGCCTTTGGTGCATGACAGGAGATGGAGCACAAGCTGTCCATAGCCCCAGCACTTTGGTTCCTGTTGCTTCCTAAAGTATTTAGTCCATCTTCCCGTGCTGAGTTGTTCTCCAGCCTGTGTATTTGTTCTGTGGCTCAAGTCTGCTCTGGGAAAGATTGGCAGGTTGTTTACATTTTGGGGCGGCATAGAGGTCACAGTACAGCTTGGGGAGGAGAAAAAAATCCATGACCCTGCAGGGTAAAAGAGATGCACAACCCTGCAGTACATGCACTGGCTGTTGGAAGATGACAAATGTTTGCAAGAGCTGGCAGATGAAGCAGAAAGAAGCTTCTTTGATGAAGTGTTGAAAAGATAACTTAGGGAGAAGGAAGGGGCTTTGAAATGTGCAAGAGAGGAGGAAGAGGAGCATGACTGAAGGGAAGGTGGATGAAGAAGTGTAGTGGAGCAGGTAGCTGGATGAGTAGGTTTGCATTTGGCACGCCGGGATGTGCTTGCTTTGGGAAGCCGCCTGCTGGCAGAGTGCCTGGGACAGGTTGCAGTCTCTGTGGGCAAATGAGAGCAGAGCTGCTTGCCCCGGGGGCAGGGAGTAGGCTACTGATTTCTGGCAGAGCACAGCTAGTGAGAGAGCATCGTGATGGAAGAGCTGACAAACAGGGAGGTGAGAAAACTGAGGCTGGCTGTGGGCTCTGAAAAAGATCCAGGAATAGAGCTGGAGCTGCCAGTTGGAGAGGGCCAGAGGATGGCTCAGTGGGTGATGTTCTGCAGGATGCTGTGCCCTGGACAGCTGTGAGGGGGCTGAGCTCTGGGTTAGATGTGTTCTGGGCAGGTCCTGTGTGCCATGTGGGGCAGGGGCCCTGTGCTGGGGCTGGCCATGTCACCGCTGCCAGCTGCCTGCCCTGTCTGGCTGCTCTGTTCTGGCGTGTCCCAGGGACTGCAGGCAGGTTTTTAATCTGCTTCTGAAGCAACTTTTCCCAAGGTCTTTATGCTCAGCAGGCAGAGTCTCAGGGCCTTGGAAAACTGTCCTTGCCAAAGTGAACTTTGCTTTCAGGAGGTTCCTCCAAATTGGCTTCTTTCTTCATTTCATGGAGGATCTCCAGCTTTCAATACTGGAATTCCTTAACTACACAAATTTCACTAACATGATCATAATGAGGTTCTGTGGTTGCCACTAAGATGGGAAAAAATAAATATAAAATATTCTTAAAAGCCTCTGTAATATAACCACAAATCCTTAAGTGCTTGAATCATCATGATGCTGCTGTGGCATGGCATCAGCCTTGGAAGTTGTCCCTTTCTGAACCATACCTTAATGCCTTAATCTGTTGAGGTTTATTTTAAGGGTATAGCTTTGCATGAGAATTTCCTCATCCTGGTGTTCATGGAGGTAAATTATATCCCTCTGGTTTTTAATTTTGCCTTACTCATACAGATTCAACCATAATTATGGTTTAATGTAGGCTTGAACTATTTCTGGTCCTAAAAAATGTATATATATACATAAACACACAAATATATATATATATATATGCCTGTGTGTATA